TGCTCTGTCTAAGCAGGTGCTTTAGTCCATTAAGCTATCTGGCCAGCCAAGGCATTTATATATTTTTAAATGAAATAATAGTAGAAAATCTGAGAAAGAAAATCTTTATGTAGTACATGTGGATTTTGAGGGTCAGGGTGTATCATGACAATCTCATTCACATGAATATTTGAATGAAACTGACTCCCAATATCAAGAAACTTCCAGAATTTAGCTAATGTCTCAAAATATGCTCATTGTCTGAAGAATATAGTTGCTGCTCTTACAGAGTTTCACAGTGAATTTGAAGAGATATATGTATAGATTCTTACATGAGGTTAGTTGTGATAAGCACTAAACACTGTAGATAGTGCTTTGAAACTTGGAGCATATTCATTTGAATGCATCACAGATATGAGAGTTAAATTTGGCCTTAAAAGTTAATTGAAGGAATTTAAAGCAAAATCTAGTGAGTGTTGATCTAAAAGCATTTATGTCCTTTTTTTTTTTTTGTACTGGGAATTGAACCCTAGGCATTCTGCCACTAAGCTACATTTCCAACCCCCCCTCTCTCCTCTCTCTCTCTCTCTCTCTCTCTCTCTCTCTCGCTCTCGCTCTCGCTCTCGCTCTCGCTCTCGCTCTCTCTCTCTATCTCTATCTCTAATGTTGAGACAGTCTCTACAATGTCTTGGGAGAACTAGAATTTTTGATCTTTCCTCAACCTCTCTCATTGCTGGGGTTAGAATCATATAGAACTGTTGTACACAGTTGCACTTATATGAATTTGAAAAAAAATTATAATACATACCATGAGGGACATCTTTGAATTCTGATTTGCACATATGTTTATTGATTCCCCAGCCTCTGCATTTTTCCTCCTCTACCATTAGCCGCATAACATAGGTTGACTCTTCATAAGATAGGTTGACTCACTGCTGTTAGCCAAACTCTCTTTTTCCAGTTGTTTTTCTGTTCTCAGTATTTGTTACTGCTGATTGCTTTCTATTCCCTCCCTTCCTTTTGTGTCTATTACTTTTTTTCTGGATCTTATATAAATTTAAGCTCTCTGCCCACCCAAGTGGGGTCTTTCCAGAGTTCTGGCTAGGACCTTCCTCGCCCTGCCTCTCATAGAGGGTTGCAATAGTATATAACCTAAATCCTAGATGCATATGTCTGGTAGATCCCTACTTCTGGCCCCAATGCCCCCTGAACCTCAGCTTCCCCTTTCCAATTTCCCAGATGTTCCTTAGCCTGCAAAGGAAGACAGTTTCTGTCTTATCGTTGAGGATAACATCTAATGATGAAGTTGATGGCATTATTGGAATGGCTCTTCATAGTAGTATTTAATTTAATGTATTTTTTATTTATTTTATTGAGGAAGAAATAGCAATGAGGCAGTTTTAAAACAGGTTAGTAGGACAGTTACAATAATTAATACATTGCATATTGTTGTCTTTGTAGTAGTTATCATAGTACAAGATGCAGACATGATATCTTGTCTAAACACTGTTAGTTCAAAACTTTCTTCTCATTGAACTAAGAGAAAGTAGCTGTATATCTATACTAACAGTTTTGTAAATACATATATATATATATATATATATATATATATATATATATTCACTACAAAATGGTCCCTCATTTAGATCCCCTTCTTTGTTTCCTTTTCTCAGAGATGGGTATTCCATTGTCATTCAAATATTGTAGATGCATGAATTCGGCAAAGTAATCCAATATAGTCCAGTAGTCTATGATAGTAGTGGATTGTTCATATGACTGGCAATGTCAGAAGTTGTTGATTTGAGCCTTTTACAGCTCAGCATATTAATATGGCTTTACTTTTTATACCTCATTTTTATACTTTTCTGCTGGATGGTTAAGACCAAGATAAAGCAAGTCCTATATAACAAGAAATGTAACTTTTGTATCTGACAAGGTCAGTCAAATCCCCTCAGGATTTACCCTGAAACCCTATACAGCAGTTTGTAGATCGTTCGTCAGTGTCAGCCATGTGGATGAGTCAAGGCCGTTGCTTGACCAATTTGCTCTCTGTGAAAGCCTGAGAGAATGTTTTCTCTCCCTGCAACTCTCCATAGGCACACTCTACATCATCAATCACTTTCCTCTGTTGCCCTGTAATCTTGATCAGAAAATTTGAGACACCTCTGAGTTATAGGATGTTACAGTACACGTTCTCTTATGTACTGAGTCCTCACGGACCTTGAAATGCTAGGGCCAAAATGTTGGCTGTTCTTGGAGCCCTTCTTTTTCTCTAATTTTTTGGTCTGCAAATTTAAGTTGTTAACCCTCCAGAAGAGAAGCTTAATGAGATTATTACCCTACAACATAGGCAGTTGAGCTTAACCTCACTCACTAACTGTCTGAATATCAAACGCCTTAGACATAACATGGAGCAGGTATTTTCCATCAATTGTTGATATGCTAAACTTTAAATCCATACGGGATGTGAAAAAAATAAAAATTAAACATATCAAAAAATAAAAATAAACAATTACAAACTTTCATACAGAAATTTAGAAATCTAACCATATATAACATCATAGCAGGACAGTCCATAGTAGCATTTTAAAGCATGCATACATCATTTAGTGAATTTTGTTCACAAAGTGGGATCACTTAAGATTATTTCCTGTGGTTTCTAAATATGACTTCAGATTCTTTTGGCTGTTTCTAAAGTACAAACCTACCTCACAAATAATGGCCTGCCACTGAGGCTAGTCAAAGAATGTGCCACAAAAGTATATCAGGGAGTATTTTTTCCCCATAATTTTATTGAGAAACAAATAGCAATGAGACAGTTTCAAGCCAAACTGGTAGGACAGTTTCAATAATCAACACACTGCATACATTCTTCTTAGTGGTTAATTGCTGTACAAGATGCAAACTTGATATCCTATTTACAAGCACCATTAGAACAAATCCCTCTGTTCATTAAGAGAATGTAACTATATATCTATCCTAACCACTTTGAATACACAGATACAAAATGGACATTCATCTGTAACCCCTTTTTTTGTTAAGTTCCATCATTTAAACATTATAGGTGTGTAAACTCAGCAAAATATTCTAAATGAGTTCAGTAGGCCATAATAGTATTGGGTCTTCCACTTGACTGGCAATGTCAGAAATTTTTTTTTGTACTTTTTTTCCCATAATTTTATTGATAAACAAATAGCAATGAGACAGTTCCAAATCAAATCAGTAGGACAGTTTCAATAATTAACACACTGCATACATTCTTCCTAGTGGTTAATTGCTGTACAAGAATCATTCTATTCATTAACAATGTCAGAAATTGTTGACCTGAGTCCTCCACAGCTCAACATAACAGCATGGCTTTACTTCTTATACTTCATTTTTATACTTTTCTGCTGGATGGTTAAGACCAATTAAGCAGAACCTATGCAACAAGAGTTGTAGCTTTTTGGTCTGAGAAGGTCAGTGAAATCCCCTCAGGATTCATCCTGAGATCCTGTACCTCAGATTGTAGAACCTTTGTCAGTGTCAGCCATGTGGATGAGTCACGGCCATTGCTTGGCCAATGTGCTCTCTGTGAAAGCCTGAGAGAATGTTTTCTCTCCATGTGACTCTCCTTAAGCACACTCTACATCATCAATCCAGGGAGTATTTTTATGAGGGTTTATTTGAAACACAGTGGCAGAATTGGGGATATTAACTTACATAATCTTCCAACAT